AGCGGGCTCCGGGTGCCACGGCGCTGCGGCGCGGGGGAGTCCTTTACAAAGAAACTCGGGGGCCCGCGAAGAGAGAATTTCACCCCTAGGACGTCCTAGAAATTCAGGTCTTCTGGGAAAAGGGCTAGAGACGCGCGGAGCCAGACCGGCAGCGCGTTGCTTTTTCCGTGCTGCTCGCTTCCCATCTCGGTAAGCCGCGTTCCTTATTTTCAGCGTTACAAATTTAGCAAAATCTAACTTTTGGGTGTGTGTCTCGACTTTTCACACACCGCTGTGCTCAAGCCTGAGTATTTTCTTAAGGGCAGACGCAGCTGGTCAGGGCACCGTCTCCCTTGCCGAGAGCCCGGCTTGAGTTGTTTCTTTAGGCTGTGACACCTGCGGAGAGTTAAAGTTGAGTATTTCAGTGACTTCTGAGGCAGAATGGCTGGGAGGGCGTAAAAGAGGCTTTTGCTTACATGTTACTGGTGTTTCGGTCAGAAGTGAAAACAGGCAGCCCAAGTGCCTGAGTTAAAGGGAGGAAGTTCTGAAACAGGGGGTGTGAGGCGTGTGTAAGACACTTGCTTCGAGTCACTTTTCTCTAGTAGGCTTGAGCTCACTCTGCACTGTACAGTCTCTTCATTTGACCGGTCATTTCATCTCCAGTCTTACTTTTTGCAATTTGTGGCTTGTGTCTCTTTTGGGGAAACATACCAGATAAAATACTGATAATAGCAATATGTAAAAATGTGTAAATACCATCAGCCTCCTTAATAAAGAGACAAAGGTTAGGCATATTTATGGCTTTTTACCAGGGAGCAGATGACTAAGGGAAAGTCACTCCATAAAATCAATTTTCTTCTAAGTTAATTTAGGGATGACAAGGTGAAGAGGTTGTGGAAGCAGGAAGAAACTGTTTCTTTTGAAAATTACCAACACAAACATCTCTAGGCTTTTCTCCATCTGTGTGGTAAGAGAGGCATAGATTTGGTTTCTAACTCTCATAACCTGTGTACCACCTAGGAAATCAATTTACAATTTTTGTTTTGAATGGCACGTTCAGTTTAATTGTTCTCTTTCATCTGTACTAATCAAGCAGTGTTTACAACTTTCAGTGGCATTTTTATTGAATAAAATCAGTGATAAGATTTTAATTTTAAAAGCCACATGATATTGAAGATCAGAATTGTAGCCTATAAAAATTAATTTCTAGATTAAGCTGTGTCATGTCATTTTAGTGTATAATTATGCTAGACTCTAAATGATGGGATATTTTTGTGGTCCTGAGATTATTTTGCTTGTTGTGGTCACTGGAGCTTTTATAGCTCTGTAGTTAACACATTACCTGATCTTCCTTGGTATTCAGACATTAGTTAATAGCTACAGTTTCAAACAGTACTTGTCTCTCTGATTTATCTTTTGGAATTTTGACAGCCACTTTCTGGTTGATTTACTTTAAATACTGTATGCATTGAGGGATACATGGTTCACTGGATTGCTCACCACTAGGTCATTGGTTTGAATTTGGCACCAGTCCATGGTTACCTCATCTGCATCATTAACAGCTGCATGGTCATCTGTATAAATTGGCTGATAACTGATTCAAGTGATTTTAGTGATCAAGGATTGAGCACATGTGGATTTATGTATAGAAACACCATTTAACAGCCAGGAACTAATGAGTATGGAAATGATTGGGTACACATGAATGTTCATGTGGGATTTTCCTACTACTACTGTATTTGTGGCAGAAAGGAGTGTTTTGATCCACTAATACCTATTCTCAAGTCATTTAAACAGAATGTGATTTTTAGAGAGAAGATCAAGTTTAAATATTGGGTTTCCTTTGGGAATCATTAACTTTTTCCTGACTGTTCTAATATTAGCATTATGTTTTAGAAGATGAAATAGTTTCTCTTTTGCAAAGACTTCCAGACTAAATGAATCAAATCCAAATTTTCACATCTAAGAAGCAAAGTCACAGCACCTCCTACTGTTTGCATGACTATAAAAGTTCAGACATGTCTTGTGAATAAAGTGTTCTGTCTGGATTGCTGGTTATGTTGGTATGGGTGTGGGTGTGCTCCTAAAATGTGAAATGACATGTAAGAAACTTGTTATCTCTTTTTTAAAGGTATTTCCCTTGGACATTAACTTGAAAATCTGAAGAAATGGCATTCCAGGCAATTTGCATGTTGGTTGGAGTATTTGTTTGTTCTATCTGTGTAAAAGGATCTTCTCAGCCCCAAGCAAGAGTTTATTTAACATTTGATGGTAAGAAAGTTGATAAATACTCTGGAAAAATGTTATTTAACATTTTTTTCTTATCCAGGTTAAAAAATTAAAGATAGTAAAGTAATATTTAGTATTGATTAATTTTAGAATTATTTATGGGACTGGTTTTTGGATGACATGGCTATTTTAAATGATTGGTTAATAGACAAAAGCCCTCTATTGCATTTGTTTATGAAAATGCTTGATGTATATTCTGCCCCTTTTTAAGTTTCTTCTGTGTTTGCACTGGAGTGATGAGGAAGAACCCAAACCCTAAAATCTCTGATCTTAATATTCACCTGGTTTGGTTGAGAAACACCTTCTCTGTCTAAGCCTCATCAACAGAAAGAGCTATGCAGGTTTAATTACTGAAAAATGTTCCTGATAGCTTTTGACCATTAGCTTTGAAATTCGCCTTTCCATGTAATGATGTTTCCTCTGTTTCCACAAGGACTTCCCGAGGTTGGCAAAGTCTCCTAATTAATTGAAAAGGAACTAAAGGAATAGTTCAGAATGTGCTTTCAATTGTTGTTGTGTACAGATGTTTTTTTCAGGAGCTTAGGGAAATGAGTGTGACTTCACATTTTCACAAACATAAAAGTTGTAAAGTCCTATGCGGAAATGGTTTGCCAAATGTGTACATGAGCTTTATATTGTTCAAAGGACTTAGAGATGGATGATTTCAGTCAGTCACATAACCCATACTAATTGGACAGGTGGAATGAGAAATGGATCAGGGTTATTCTGCCAGTCAGGGTTATTTATATTTTTATTGCTTCTTTCAACTCTGTCTCTGCATAAACCTCAGTGTCAATGGGAATATTTTCATTTTCATTTGAGGAACGATATACTCTAAGACCTTCCTATGGCAGGTTGTCTTTGAAACACTATTATCTTGAATTTTAAATAGCAGTATGACTGACACTTATCAGTCAAATGGCCTCCCCCCCCT